GAGCTCCTGCAGTTTCCTCGTTTCCTCCTCGTTAATGTATGCAACTCGTTTTTACGTAGCCGCCTGACGTTTGTTGATTTAAACGGAGTGCACGTGTTGCGTGTGCCGTCATGATCGCAGCTCTGCCGTGGTCATCTTTGATGCTCTCTGTTGAAACACGGAAGAGAAATACGATATCCGCTCAGCGACGTCCTCGTATCGATTTTGTGCATACACTGTCTTCGTCTTTGATTCGATCAGCTGACATTCGATTGTTTGCAACGAGTAAATAACTAGCGCTTGATCAACACGCGTGCAACCAGCTCACAGGCACTTTACTGTCGCGTGATCGCGAACTGTCAATCACGATCGATCTCCGTGAACCATGCTCCGAACAGATCCTGGATCGAGAAGTGTACGCGAGCCCTAGCTTGTCCTCTGTCACCTAATCTCTGATGCGGTTCGAATGCCAAGCAGAACTAAACTGGTCACCGAGGGGTCTCAAAAGACTATCCTTCTCTTGCCCCCTCCCTCCTGCCCCTTCACTCCTCCATCCCTTTTCACCACGTTCCTCTCCCACCTCCGGTGTCTACCATTGGGAGAACTCTCACTGAGAGCACATCTCTCTCGTTCGGCCCCGGATCTCTCTCTTTCATCTCTCTTCAACGAGAGAGCGGAGAGATTTATAGGCGGCGATCGGGGAAGATCCGCCACTGGCCGCGAAGATAAAAGGCGGCATTTAAAAATACGGGCCGCGGTCGCGGAACGATATCGTCGTAGACTTGTTACGCGATTGCGTGAACCCGACGCGGATTACAAAAGAGATCAATCTTCGGCAGATCGATGGATTCAACCATCGAACAGCCTTACCGACTTTCTTAAATCGATCGTGTGAATCACGCGACGCGAGTAGGACGAGACACTTGTCCCCAGAACTTTTATACAAGAAGCCTGTCATCTTTTTTTTTTTTACGAGCAACATGTCTTTATTATAAGGGGGATGCGATCGAGCGTGGGGCAAACAGGCACGGAAATAGTGACGATTCTCGGAATATTGGAATGTATCCTTCGCGATTGGAACGATTGAGGAACGATACATTCGGAGGATGTAGGTTATGCGTGTACACTCGATGATGCAAGGAGGATGCCAGGCATGATCATGGACGATCGGCAAATCCGACGAAATTTGGCTTATTTTTGAATCTGGCCATCGTCCAGACGCATTTCGCCGTGCATGTTGAACACCAGTGACGATGGAAGACTTCTATCGGCTGTCGCGATTCGTCATCGATTTTTCCAAAAATCTTAGATGGCGCGTGTTACATCTTTGAAAATGACTGTCGTTGATTTCGCGTTTTCGTTACAGTAGGCGTACCTTCGAAGTTGGACTGACTCGCCAATGTCGACTAGCCTTGACGGAGGACAAGTATAATCCCACGGAGAGAGATGCGATACGAATTTGTAGTTCTTGTTACAAATAACGTGCAATAGCCTATAAATAACGATGATGCCGGTACTTTAATATTTACGTTTCTAATAATAATGCGGCGACGCGTTATCGGCAAGCCAGTACGCAAGATTTACAGTAAATATCGTGAAACGCTCGATCGATTATGTAATAATGACCGTGTGAAGATGATCGTTTGTCTGAAATTCTGCTCGAAATGCATCGCACTCGTTACGAACGCAACGATCATGACTATTCGTTTGTGTGTCCAGAAGATGATCTGTCCACTGTAGTTTTCATTCTTGCGTTGGCTGTCGTTAATAACCAAAATGAAAATAACGATTTCCGGGAATCTATTTTATAAGCACATTCGTTGCCAAAGGTCTCTCATTATGCTGTTCCCTGCGTTTCTGCGAGTATCGTTATTTTCTTTACAAAAACTTCGCATGTATGTCTTTCTTTGTCAGTCGCTTTAATACATGCGCGATATATCGACGCAATCCGAATTCAATTAAACAATCTCCGAAGAAGAACTAGCTGCACACAGCTTGAACTGCGCATCATTTCTCAGAGTAGAACAATCTTAGTCAGACGATGGTAACAGGTTTTTCCTAGTGTAACTCCCAATTTCGTATACCGGAGGATCGGCAATAAAGCCGGCGATGTGTTCTCTACGAGCATCGATATTTAACTTCTTTATTGCCGATAGTTAAAAAGCGAACGTTCCTGAGGCCGGAGACGAATAAAATAGAGAATACATAGAAATGCTCGAGTCTTTTATCGTCGAAGAGACGAGACGCGTTAGCGGGACAGCCGTATGATTCTCTCGATTATTTTTACATTTTGACACATTGACGAAGCATCTGGACATTTCGTGCGACGACAGTGTGCCTTCTCGATGAAATGGTAATTTCCTACTATCCAAACGTCGACGCTGACACGGAAGAGCGGACAATCCGTTTTTTCAGCCCACAGAAATATCGTTTGCCCGTCAAGGACGAGGAAGTTGCAAACTCCAATGACGTTCGTGCTCGCCTACGACTTCTGGATTCGAATCAAAGACGGTGTTTCTTCGTTTAGGGAACGATGTGATCGTGAATATCGTGACAAACGTAATTTCTCGTTCGAAGAGACAAGTATCTTATTTCTCCTGTTTAATACATGTTTTACGTTTTAATATACCGATATGATCCGTCGAAACGATCGTGGCGAAAGGCCACGAAAGCAAACGACACGTTAACTTCGCGATAAAATGTTATTCGCGTCGAAGCGCGTAAACTTTACATGTTGACTCGGACAAAAGAGGGACTCATCTGTCGTCCGCCTTTCCCTATTGTCATGGAAGCAACGGTGTTATTCATTTAACCACAAAGACAATATTTCATGAATCATAAAGTTAACCATCCTTCGATGGTGTAGCATGGGCGAGTGTGGGTTACACACGTACTCGGAAGCGGATGGGCACGTTCGTGGCTAGCTAATTTGAATTATCGACGATCAATCCTATTTTATCCAATGCCCGTAACATAACGTAAAACGACGCGGCAAGTCATAAGTGACCACGCATTTACGGTTGCCAGAAAGAGATCGGTTTGTGGTAGAATGACGAACGAGTTACCAGTATCCTCGAAGATCATCTGTATCGTATAACGCTAACAGGTATTACACGCAATGTGTAGTGTACGCGGCCACTTATATGCATGTGCGTGTCAAGTTGGCGGTTCCCATGGAACACGAAGGTGGTACGCGATATTTTCAAGCATCCGTGCGGTCCCACGGCGACTTCCGGTTCCGCGGTGCGTTCGCCAACTTCCGGTGTCACGACAGTTTTCCGCCGACCGATGCACACCTAATGGCGGGGTGGTCGTGCGTGGCTGTAAATGCAATTACTTTACGTTACTATCAAATTATCGCTTTGACGTGATTTTCTTTCGTCATACGAAAGTCATACGTTGTGCTGCAGTTGAAGAAGTGAAGTGAGAAAGAGATGCAGAAACGGCAGAAACAGTTACGTTCGTGCTCGTTCTCTCGTACTCACGTTCGAACGCAGCGGCAAGCGGTTCACAGCGGTGCAATTTCTCCCCTCTACTTGATCTTTACGTGGAATCAGGTCCAATTATTCGACTTCGGTTTCGTCGTTGCATAACGACGTATATACAGGTTGGAGGACTGTAAAACACGCGATCGTAACACGTTACGACGAACTGCGCCTCGTTCGGAAAGAAGGATGTAACGGATAACCTGGTTGAGTGTTTCTCTTTGACCTTGATCCTTTTACCCGTAAAATGTGGTGCAGGTGTTTAGCTGGACGATCAGGATGCAACCGGGCCCTGTGCCCGGTCCGTCCGTGTGCTTCGAGTCAACTTGAAACCGGAAGCGCCGCTTTCTGCCCTGCTGCTCACGAACAATGAGATCGGGAGATTCCTGCGAGGACGCGAGCACGATCAAACGGCGAGGTGCTTTATCGACACCGGGCATCGAAAATATTCGCTCCCGAAGAAAAAGGATTGAAGATCCTTCGCTCGGTGGAGTCGTGAATCTGTTTAACAGCACTACTAGATGCTCGCAGGTCTTCACGTAAAATTTCGTACCTGGAAAAAATGTGTAAGTTGAGTCAGCTTACCAGTACGTGCAATGACAAAATAGAACGAACAAAATAGAAAAGAACACAGTATCTATGATTCACGACGGAGATACGGCAGTAACTTTACGAAAAAGATAACGGCATCACCTGCCGCGTGACGATAACTTTAGCTTACCCCAACTTCGGTTTAGAAAATGAGGTAAAATCGATGGTGTTATCCGTATTGCTTCCACCCGCTTCTCGGTTCTCTCGGAATCTTTGATCAACGATACGGAAACAATTTGCATTACGAGTATCGTTTCGTGCGTCACCCCTATGATTTCATGCGTGTATGCACACAGGAGATAGTGGATATAATTGTGATATATCGTTTGTAGACGGTGTGTAACGATGGCATCGGCCGCCCGGGTTTGTCCATGCGATCGATACAAGCGTCGTGAACACAATGAGAAAATCTTTTCGCGACCATTGCCGTCACGTGGTTCCCGTACGAACAGCAACAGGTGTGATGCAACAGGTAATCAAACCTAGTCATTACGATTCGTTGGTTATTTGTTGGTGACAAATTTCTATACTATACGTAGCAGAAATTTTAACTCAACGATCCATCTGTCTTGGATCTTAACTTTGAGAAAAAAGATTAGGTAACTAACATACGAACCAACGCATTTTATTTTTACCAGACGTGCGTACAACAACCAAAAAATCCTCCGACAAAATTCCTCGTCATCGCTATGACCATTGTATGGTCACTTGGAACTCGTCTAAACTCCATCTTACACGCTATTAGCCAGTCGCCGTTAGCAGGATGACGCGCCGAGAACAGGATTCAAATGATATTCCTCGTGCGTTTTTCCCTGGCTTTTCACCGCGGACAATGAAAAGGCACGAGTGTGGACTTACTTGGTGTCGGCTCGTGCGACAG